CTATCCCTCTTTGAAGGTAAAACTATCCAAGGATAATTCACTGATCTACACACGCTTATATCGACCTCACACTGTCTCACTTCGGGTAATGAATCAAAATTTCCCGTAAGTTCCAGAAACGCAAATTTAAGTATCTTCAACCGCTGGCGCGCAGCAGTCTCTCCACCCTTCCACCTCGTAGCTCCCGTGGGGCCACACTGAGCTAGGTGAGGGCCAACACGTCGCTATGGCAACGCTCAAGCCATAGTGACGTCATCACAGGCTTGGCAGTGTCTCGATACCCACACATCGCGGGAAGACGACCAACACAAAGCCTTTTCATAACATACATGATAAATCACCATCAGAACTTATTCAAATTAAAGAAAAAATAATGATGATAATAACAACAGAGCTTAGAATGAAGAGATAAAAGAGAAGTAACCAACAGGGAATCTCATACGCCCGGCAGCGCGGAAGCCAGCATCTGCAACACGTGTAGAGAGAATCGCACAAGCAGAAGTGTTTGTGAGAAGGACACATACACCCTGATCCTGAACCCATTGTCTTACCTTGCATAGTCACGCATGTCAATTCTTTAGGAGCGGGTTAGCAAGGGATGATCAAAAAGCTATTGTTTTCCCACCTTCCGTTTTGTATTATTTTTATTTATAGTCAAGGGGAGAGTAAGACAGAAATATATAAATAGTAAGATTAACGAATAGGGAAATTCTCTTTCTGTCCGTGTCCTCGATTTCCTCTATCTTGTCTTTCATTTGGACTTCTTTTTTCCTAAAATCCTAGGGGGTGTCATACTAGCACTATTTCCATGGTTCTTTTGTTTCCATTTTTTCTCCCTATCGCTGGCATATTAGCCGAATGCGATAATTTCCAGTCAAACGATAATTATCGTTTTCGTTGGCAAATATTTCGTTGACATTTTTTAAAATAATAGGCTATAATAAAATAATCGTTTATAGTAATGCAAAAAAATCTATTTATGATATAAAACGATTCAAAAAGACAATCCAAATTGTAAATAATATTTATAAATTGGCAAAATTCTCTCCTGTATTTAATAACAACAGACACAAGTTGCTCCCCTGTTTGTTTACATTTCTGACCGTATTATCCCGTCCCCCTGACTAGATGAGAGCAGCGAGAAGACGGTGTTATTTAGCATCATACATTCGATGTTTCGCATTAAATCGTCGCCACACAACCAGAACAGCGCCCATCATCGCTAGAACCTGTGCGGGGGTTGGAGACATCTTCCTGTGTTTAGAATTTTCGTCGGACTGGTTCCATGGTTCTTGTCGCTAGAGTGACAGCGGAAAAAGTGTGACACGGCTTCTCTCATGTCCTTTAAATTTGAGAAACGACATTCACAGTTAAACTACTTGTTAAATTAAAGAACCGGAAGAAAACGGTTTAAAGGGAAAATAATAAAGAATCGAGAACCGACACGTATATCCAAATAAAGAACAATATGTTTGCAATTTGTGTGAGACAAATTGCACGTCACAGATCGATGAGGACATGACAAGATGACAGGTAGGTGACGGCTAATAACAGGTTGGTGTTGTGTGATGAACTGTTTACAGGTTGGTGATGACTGATGGCAGGCTGATGATTGATAACTGATGGCTAGCAATTTTGTGATGACTAGTGACTGATGACAGGTTGGTGATGGTTGATGATTGATGACTGATGACAGTTTGGCGATGGCTGATGATAGGTAGCTGATGACTGATGGCAGTTTGATGACTGATGACAGTTTGGCGATGACTAATGACAGTTTGGTAGTGACTGATAGTTTGGTGATGACTGATGATAGGTAGATGATGACTGATGACAGTTTGGTGATGACTGATGTAGGTAGGTGATGACTGATGACAGCATGGTGATGACTAAGTACAGTTTGATGATGACGGATGACAGTATGATGACTGATGACAGTTTGGTATTGACTGATGACAGTTTGGTAGTAACTGATAGTTTGGTGATGACCGATGACAGTTTGGTGATGACTGATGATAGGTAGGCGATGGCTGATGATAGGTGATGACTAATGACAGTTTGGCGATGACTGATGATCGGTAGGTGATGACTGATGACAGTTTGAGATGGTGATGATAGGTAGGTGGACTGATGATAGGTAGGCGATGACTGATGATAGGTGATGACTAATGACAGTTTGGAGATGACTGATGACAGTTTGGGATGACACTGATGATAGGTGATGACTAATGACAGTTTGGAGATGACTGATGACAGTTTGGCGATGACTGATGATAGGTAGTGATGACTGATGATAGGTGATGACTAATGACAGTTTGGAGATGACTGATGACAGTTTGGCGATGACTGATGATAGGTAGGTGATGACTGATGATAGGTGATGACTAATGACAGTTTGGAGATGACTGATGATAGGTAGGTGATGACTGATGATAGGTGATGACTAATGACAGTTTGGAGATGACTGATGACAGTTTGGCGATGACTGATGTAGGTAGGT